GCTTCGAACTATCCACTCATCCGCCCAGCACCCACAGGTCAGTAATCCATGCAAAGGTCATCATGAATCATCCTTTGTTAGCTCTGGCGCCATTTTTCATGTGCTTCAAAGGTAACGAATCCGCAGATTTCGAAGTTGAACTCGAGGTAGGTGCTCACCCATCCTTTGCACATCAGCCGTCCCCTTTTCTCTCAGACGCTACCTCTATGCCCAGTCAAGGGCACTGCTTCTGTTGAGGGTCTCGAGAAAGCACTGAAGAAGGTGGATTGTTGGCTGAAGTCGACCAAGATGGGACAACGTTCTTCTCAGGTCATGGATTACAATCGTCATCACCATAATTCCGCTATACCAGTGGTCGTCCTTTCTGCTTGTAGCAATATCTCTGGTGCGCGTCTCGATGTAGGACGAGATACATTCTTCCGAGGTGATTTCTTAACAGATACCGACAGTATCAACTCTGATCCATGAATATAACGGTGTTGTCGCATGGGACTTGGCAGCCATTGCAGCTCATGATAAGGTCGGCCCTTATCTGTCGGACTCTGTCCCTAACGAGCTTCCATGATTATGCTGTTACAGGTCGATATGAACCCTTCTACGCACCCTAACGGTTATATCGATTTCGCATTCGTATCTCCTCATAAGCTGATCGGTGGTCCCGGTAGCAGCGGCCTCTTGTTGTGTAAGAAGAAACGACAGACTAACGCCGTGCCGGCTGTCTGCGGCGGAGGCGTCGTTCTATACGTGAGTCAGAGAGGTCATCGGTATCTTGATGACTTCGAAGAGCGCGAGGAAGCTGGTGAGCTTTATTCTACCTAGCTCACTCTTCACTCGATATTTCTTGAGGTACCCCCGACATCCTCGGATGCATCAGAGCGGGTATCGTCTACCATCTTCATAGGACGATCGGTATCGAGAAGATTGCTGCTGCTGAGCATAAAATGGCCGATCATTTATATAAAAAGCTCCAGTCCCACAGCAAGATTCATATACTCGGGCCCAAGGCAAGCTATACTCGTTCTACCGCTTTTGACGATCGTCTTAGGATCGTTCTCACTGTGCTGGTATTTTATCCTTCAATATCTTGTATAATCACAGCAATCCTTCCACAGGACACGGCCTGTAAGATATCACTCACCAACGAATAGCAGTAGTTGGGAGTTGTATCCTTCAGATACCTCCATTATAACTTTGTTGCGGCCGTCCTAAACGATTTGTTTGGCATTCAAGCTAGGGGTGGCTGCGCTTGTGCTGGACCGTATGCGGAAACCATTCTCGGTCTCAGTGCTGAAAACGCCACCAAGTTCGAAGAAGCTGTCGGTAGGTTATTTGCATTCTCCTCCAATGCTCTAAATATGTTCAAGGCCGCACATTATCCGAGATTTTCAAGCCTGGATTCGTTCGAATTGGAGTGCACTTCACAATGACCCAGGAAGAAGTGGACCTCGTCGCCGATGCTATTCTGTGGATCGCCGATAATGGTTGGATACTCCTCCCTTCGTACACTTTCAAGACCCGATCAGGAGAGTGGTATCATATCAGACGAGATGATAGGCAGAAGCTCAGGTGAGTAAAAGTGGCTTAATGGCCTAATGGAATTATTATTTACTCAGGAGTCTTTCGGAGACGTTTGATCAATCATCCTTTGCGACAGGGCTTCAATTGATTTCTCTTGGGAACTGCTCCGCACGATGCGGTAAGAGCAGTGCCCGTCGCTCAAGTCTGCCGTCAATCGGAAGCCACAAGCACGTCGATGAGGACTCAGCAATGGTTATGCAAAAAGCTGATGAGGTGTGCAAGAAGATTCTGTCCGAGGTGAGTCGTCATGGGCAATCTCGTGCGATAGAAGAATGGTATGGGTGCTGGTATCGTCATGGTATTGGGAGAATATATTATCGATAGTGCCAGGATTCGTATCAGTAGCATTACCAATGGTGATCATATTATCGACTTTACCAGACGGGATTATCTTGCTTCAATTTCACAATGAATTAAACCGATCCAGATAACATAGGCAACATTGAATTGCTGAGTGCTTCCTATGATCACACTGTACAGTGTCTTAACGCAGTTGGCTTTGCCCGTCTCAGGCAGCCATGGTCCAGCTCGACTTGCCACTACTCGATCCTAGTCTCATCCACCTATTGTGGTTCGCTCATCCATTTGATGCTCAGAAGTCTATCATTCAATCGATGTCTTCAAGTGAACCGCCTAAACCTATGGTTCGCACTGACCTAGGCCTTTCAAACATTGCGGAGAATGCCCCTGGACATGGAATTAGTTCAAGGTGAATACTAGATCTCCGTCTTGTCCTCATCAATTGATAGTATTTCAGACCCAGTGAAAGCATATTCAACGTTCGCTCTTGGAGTGATGGAGTTGAATCTCCTAGAGGAGTCAAAAAGGTGGGGAGCATTCCGCTCGGCCTCATGTGTTGCTGAGAATGACTCCCGGTCCTCTCGGTAGACTACTCCGGTCGACCCTCCATCCTCAAGCTTATTATCACTCAAGGGTGTAAGGAACGCCAAGAAGCTCTTAGACCGTCGTGAGCGCACGCTCGCATCGGCGAACTAAACAGTTCCTATCAGTATCACCTGTACCACCCAGCTACCTGACGTTTGAGCGACACAATTGTGAGCTCACTTAGGGCAACCAGTTCATGTCTCGTTTCCTGTGTCCTTACGGCCAATATATGGCTTTTTTGTTGCTTCGAGGTGCCTGCCTTATCCATGAAAGTGTCTGACGGTCAGACACTGACCTTTGCTGGTCGCCTTATGAGATCGTGCAGACAATTGGTCTAGCTCTTCAGTAATATCAGATTTCAATTGTGTTTCGAACTTGGTAACCGTGTTTCGTTCAGCCATTGGATGCCGACCGAAAGAGTTCATGACCAAATTGGTAGTGAAATTATCACAAGATGTTAAACTTCATCCCTGGCGCATGTTAGA